TCCCAGCAAACAGTGGTTTTCTCTTCCCTTAGGCCTCTCTGTTGCAGAGACAAGGAACAATGCCAGAGTCCTCTGGCAAGTGACTTCCTTTCTGTGTTTTAAAACTGCTTTCAGGGGTTGTCAAGCAACTATGAACTTGGTTAACTGAACTTGGAAGGCTGCGGCAGCATAGCCCAATAAGTCTCTCCATGTTCATCACTGGGATTTGGTTTTTACCCTTAGTGAATCAAGGAGCCTTGGTGGGTTTTGAGCTGCAGAGGAATGTAGTCTGTCTTGGGGGTCATGTGTTGAAAGTACGGAGGGAGTCGGGCAAATAGTGAAACAGAGAGACCAGTTGGGCAGTTACGGCAAAATCTAAGTGGGAAATTTTTAGAGCTTGGACAGAGTGGTCAGATTTGGATATATGTGAAGGCAGAGGTCACTGAACTTCCTGCAGGATTGAATTTGGGGTGTGAAAGAAAAAGCAAAGTCAAGGTTGACCCTGAAGCTCCTGGAACAAAGTGGATAATGTTAATGAAAATGATTTGCCGAGGGAGATTTAGGGGCAGGGTTTGGGGCATGTTAAGTTTGAGCTGTCCTTCAGACACTGTGTGGGTACTGATCAGTGCCAATTTAGCCGAAACAGAACCACATTCCCCAGAACGCTCTTCTTTGTATGATTCCAGGCTGGATGCACCATGAATAAATTTGTACCATTTTTTGGAAGGTGGAGGTGAAGCAGCAGCCACCACATTCTGAAGATGAAGTTGGCGCTCTGTTGAAGGTTGCACACACTGCGGCTGATAAGCCCACCGCCTTGTTGCCCTGGGATAGTAAGTAGTTCAGCCTGAAGCTCCTCCAGCTCCCATCGTATCTCCTCTTTTAACTTTGCAGACTCCTTGGGCAGGGGTATGTGAGCCCCCTGGCAAAGCCAGCCAGATCCTTTGGCAGGTCATCATGTTGAAGCTGGAGGCGGTGTGTCAGGTCCAGTTCCAGTTTTTCACGGTGGGTTCCTGTTGGTGCTGCTCTCTTCCTCTTTAGGTCTAACTCTTCCTTCTGGTTACCAGTCCCATTACCAGAGACTGAGCCAATGACTTTTCTTTAGCTTCCCCCACAATGGCAGAAATTCCCATCCTATAATAAATCCCTCGATCCCTATGCTTCATAGAGGTTCTGCACTTCAGATTGAACCCAAACTGGTGTGATACCCTGGTGAGATGTTAGGTAGGTCACTAGATAGAAGACTCTCAAGTCTAAGGGAAAGGTCCCAAGTAGATGTAAAAATCTGGAAGTTTTCAACATGCAACTGCTATTCAAAACCATGATGCTGGATCATACCACCCAAAGAGAGAGCTCATACATGGAAGAAGAAGAGGTCTAAGAATCAAACCTTGGGCAGAGGTACTCACAGCTCAGGGGAGGGGCACATTCCGTGCCACCCAGAACAGAGCCACCCAGGGAACTGAGTGAACTGGAAGAGACTATGGGAGCCTGGCTTTATAGTAAACAGAGGGGGAGGACCCCCTGGTTCCCACTGAGGATATTATTGACTTACTGGAATAATTTCACAGGTCAGAAGGGAAATAAAACCTGGAAGGCTAAGTACCAGGAGTGCAGCTGGTCAGGCTGATAAAGGAACTTGCTGGATGAAGAATCTTTCCTACTGAGTGGAAGCAGATCTAGTGAGAGCTAGGTACCTCATGGTCAGGAATCTGGGGCCCTGTGAGGCTCAGAGATGTCAAGGTAGCACTTGAAATTTCAGGTCCTAGAATATTTTTGTCCCAAGTTCATGACTTCAGCAGGAGAGGTAGTGGGTGGATTCATAAACATCCTATATGATACAGCATTCGGTTCAGTCTGGGAGATTTTAGGATAAGGGAGAAAGGGTGTCCGTGGAGTAATGAGGAGAAAAGATCACACACACACACACACACACAGACACACACACACACACACAGACACACACACACACACACACACACTGAGACAGCTGAGGATAACAGGGTCCTCAGAGTCCTCACAGGGGATTCAGGTGTCAGTTAAGCAGTGAAATGAAAATTCAAAAGATGAATTTGAAGAGATGAGGAAATTAGCTGTTTCTTTCTGAGTTCCAGGGGCCATGGTGATAGATGCCAGGAGTTTGGGAAGAATGAGACATGACCGGAAAAAAAGATAATATACAGGAGATACTGGTGACCAGGGACCTGAGGTTTGTGAAAGATAAAAATGAGGATAAAAGGTACCATGATATTGGACATGAAGGTCTCAGAGAGGAGTGGCAAAGATGACCACCTGATGAGCTAGCCGGTGAACTAGGGGAGAGTAGACAGGTTCTGGCCTGGCACTGCCACTCATTACTTATAACATCTTGAATTAATATCTGGGCTTCACTGTCCATGTGGAGGGGGTTGGAGGAGAACATTTTGGGTAATCTCAGCCCATGATTTAAGATCTTAGGTACAGCTTACGTAGCCTTGGTGTTGGGGAAATAACTGGCCAGCTCCCTCAGTGCGTGGATGCACAGGACTGTCAGCAGGACAATTCAGAATCACTCATGGCCGTTCATTCCTTCCTTTCTGCCCACCCCTTGCGCTTCTGACTCTCACGGTACCAGTTTCTCTCGGTGCCTTGATTCTCAGGTAATCTGCCAACACCTGTCCTCTTTACTCTTATCCTATCCATCTGGGATTCGGATTCTCCACTTGACTTTTCCTCTCACCAACTCAGACACCCTCAGTTCCTCCCATGGTCAAGGCCCAAGGGCAGGACTAACCCAATTACAGTGTTCTTAAATCTCCCTGCTGACCAGTATTTGTTTACAAAGGGCAGGAAGTCCTTTCCTCCTCTCTCCCTCTCCCCACACACAGACACCCTCTACAAAGCTTGCAGAGAGGTCTTGAATCAGGCTGTTCTTTTGGAGAATGTCCTAAGATAGAGGGTAAGTGCTGGGCAGCAGGAGTCCTGGCTTCAAAGGCAGCTTTAGTTCAAACTCTCCACGTGTGTGAACTCCTTTCTTTCAAATGTTCTACGTCTATGCCAAGAAGCAGTTCTTTACGATTCTGCATAAAAGTACAGGCAGTTCACAGGCGCTCCGAGACCCACCCAAGGATGAACCCCTGAGAGTCCCATAAAGCCCCTTGTTTATCTGGCATGGCCGGGGTCTTGTTTTAGTCACTTTTTTTTTTTCTGCTATGACTAAGGATCTGACCTGAACAATTATAGAGGAGGAAGAGTTTACCGCAGGGCTCAAGGTTTTCGAGGTCTTATTCCATAGAAGGGTGGCTCCGTTCCTCAGGGCTCAAGGTCCTGAGGCTGAACATCATGGCTGTCAAGGGTGGCAGAGGGAAGCAGCTATCATCAGGGTGATCAGGAAGTAGAGAGCGAGTTCTCCACTTGCCAGGTACAAATATATACCCAAGGTCACACCCCAGTTCCCACCTCTTGCACCCTACCACTTCAGTTTACCACTCAGTGAATCCCTTTCCGGGGATTAAATCACTGATTGGGTTAAGACTCTTACAACACAATCCTTTCTCCTCTGAACCTTCTTGCATTGTCTCAAGTGAGTTTTTGGGGATACCTCACGTGCACATCATAACAGATCCCTTCCTGGGAATTTTATTTCCTCCTTTTCAGGGATAAAGAAAGGACCCAGAACATGTTGCAGAGGCTCCATTCCTTCTCTCATCTCAGGGAAATGAAATTCCCAGGACAGAGAGGGGTAGAATATCACATCCCATAAGTGCTTCCAGCACTGCCAAGGGTCTGTTCTGCATGTCAAATGGTTATCTGAGACGTCTGATTAAGAAGTTTCTCTTTGGTGTTGAATAAACTGTAAGGATTTCACATCTAGGTGTTTCCCAGTCACTCCATGAGGGCAAAGGGACATATATATAAAAGCCATCTCCTCTTGCTACCTCCATAAGCCCATGTTTGTCCTTGAAATCTCACTCCTATCTCATATCCTACTCAGTTATGTCATTGTCATCATGGAATTAGGCAGACATTGCATCTGCATACCACACATCCTAACACATTGAAACTTAGTCATTACTATTGATGACATGAACCATAATATTTGTTCTCCATGGGAACATACAGCATCACATGAGGTTGCACGTTTTCCAATCTTTTTTCCTAATTATTTGTAAGCTTATGTTCTTTATGTGTTCCTCAGTTGTCTTCAAAGGGAACAGTGACATTTCCCGTTGGTTAGCAACTGCTCTGCATGGAAATTGGTGATCTGATCTGTCTGGCTAAGAAGTTTCTCTTTGGCATTTAACAAGCTGCAGTGATTTCACATTGAGGCAGGCGTTCCCCACTCACTTGAGGGCAAAGAGGCATGTAACACCAACTTAGAGGATTTGATTCTAGAGCTAAAGGAAAATTTTATGGACAAGTAGAAAGGAAAAGGTATTTTTTTTCTTATTCTGCTTTTTGAAGTTCAAATGTCCATCTTTGGAAACAGATGGCATCTTATTTCAACATTTTTTCTAGATACTGCTTTCTTTATAAAATTATTTGTCACCAACACAATGTTTTTGCTATGATTTCATCTCTCCCTACACTAATGAGATTATTAGATAAAGGGCAAAAAGCAAAATTTCTATTCCATCTTTTTAGTGAAACTAGGTCTCCTGAATCAAGACAGACTTCAGTTTTCTAATTGAAAGTATCATCTCTCTGTAAATGTTCATGAAAACTCTCCCCATATATCTAACCAGGCGATATTTCATCATTCACAGTATTCTAGGCTTCCTGAATCCTCAAATGTCATGTCCATGGCAATCTGATTTTATGTCACACTGGACTGAGATTGAGAAAACCAAGAATAAAACATACCACAAAGCAGTCTGGAAAGATACCCTAAGCTACCTCCCCCAACATGTGAAGACTCCTCTTTTTATACAATCATGTATATAGAAAGGATAGAATTTTTAAGAACCCAAACATTTCCTCCTAAAATATTCTTTCTAGTGCTTTGCTTCAGAAGAAAGTTTCAGTTCAAAGCAGTGACTTACCAGGCTCGGATCTGCCAGCTCCTTGGAGAGGTTCCTCTTGGGGTTTCAGGTTGTATCTGAAACTTAAAATGTAAAACGCGTTCAGTTAAGTTGCCTGGCGTTAGTGACTTTGTTTCTTCCAGCAGACTCCACAACAGAGTCAAATCCCAGTCCCTTCTCTCCGCAAAAAATCTTCAAATTATTTTCTTCTTCGTCTTCCTTCTCTCTATATGCCAAGTCATGGACGAAAAGCTCATAATCCTGGCTCACTTGTCATGGAAAAGGTGTAAAATGTACATGTAATCAGGCAAAGTGGGAAGTATTGATTGTAAAACGATTTGAAAGTTTCTTTAAATAGATGTAGCTAGCCCTATTAGTTCTTGGCTTGTATGTGTTTGGCAAGAGACTAACTTTTTTTTTTTTCAATGTAGGAGTGATATAAGTGCAGGAAGGGACACTTCTGCTAGCCAGAGAGAGAGAGAGAGAGAGAGAGAGAGAGAGAGAGAGAGAGATTCTAAAACCAGCCAGAGAGTAATTGGACCCTTTGACTCTGACAGTTAATCCAAAGCACACTGCAGGAAGTGCACTGGTGAGCTGAAGTTAGAGAAACAGTGGCCTCTTATGGAGCCCCAGATGTCACACCAATTACATACGGTGTGGTGACTTGCAGTTTATTTAAATAGTCATTCAAGTTAAAATACAGAACAAGAGGGCTGCGGCAGAAAAACCATCTTGGGCCTAGTTATTTCGTTTCTCTAAATTAGGTTGATAAGTTCTCATTCTGCTATTATTCTCCGTCCTTCCTTCCCTCCTTCCCAGCAGTGGTGCCCTTCCTCCTTCTAGATTCTGTACAGACGCAGACAGACTCCAACAAGCTTCATCTTTTAAAAAGTTACTATCAACATGTGAATTTTTGTTTTCTGAACATTCCTGCCTTCCTCTATGGTGATGAAAGCAAATAATCTTAGTGTTTATTTTGACAACCCATATCAAAAAAAAAAATCTTACAATTAGGATAAATTCTTCATCACTATACAAAAGCCAAGAAATAAGAAATTCAGGTTCTTCCACTAATCGCTGTGTGCATTTATTTTCTTTTAGGTCACGTTTACAAATGTGAGCACGACCGGGACAACTAGCATGTTACCCAAAGTCTATAGTCAAGCTGATCTTATTGGGACCAGATAGAGAGGCTGCACCCTGACTCTTCCCAGATGGGGCATTTTGTGGGGGTTTCTGGGAGCTGTGCTTCATCCAGTGATATGGCGGGGTGACAGCTAGAGCAGAGAGTGACAGTGAGCATGGGCAAGGCCAATGCAGATTGTAGAGAGGAGAAAAAGAAATTAGAAGAGAGTTCTCTGAACTTTGAGTAGCATGTATTTGGTGGGAAACAACACCAATTCACAGGAAAATGTAAAATAAAATCAAAGATAAATAAAAAGGAAGGTTCCATTTGTCAGAAACTTATCTGTTAAAGGTAGTTTCCATAGTTTTCACTGCAAGTGAGAGTACAAGGTCATGTGAGGTCATACACTTAGTAGAAGACTCAGTCACCGCCCCATAGTTTCTCAAATGAGTGGCCCTGTTGTTTTATATCATCTGTTCACCAAGCACAAAAACAGGAATTACCATGGATCCATGTCAAGATTCTAAGATAACTCTTCTACTAGCTTTTAATTACTGCTTTCCTCAAGGGCACATTCCCCCCTCCCCCAAATTCTGCTTATATATAAATTTGTAAAAAAGTTCTTAACTCCTAGGTGTTTCATAATGTCACTGGCTGGGTGGTTTCCATTTATGCCTGAGCGCATTCTTGCTGAAAACATTTTGCAGCCCTGATGGAAAACCAAGAGGAATCCTGGCAAAGGTCTCCTCGAGGTTAGCAAACCTCATGAAATACTTTGTACAATGAAGCCTTGAAGCATTGTTTGCAATTGTGACATAACTGCATTTTAATCTACTTCCGGACTTGGTTTTCTATTTATCTGAGCAGTAAACAGCTCCCAAAGGTCAGACTACCTCACTGACAAGTACTCTGATTTCCTTCCAGTGAGGGCATTTATCTAGATGTGCTCCTGTAGCTTCTTCTTGAGCTCCATTCTCTTTCTCCTGTGAAGGTCACCTGTCCCCCTTTGCTGTGTTTCAGAATCTACTCCACTCAAGGGATAGAATTCTAAGTCAGACACAGAAGGATGTGGCCTCTCTATTCATTATGTGCTATCGCTGGGAAACAGTTACAAGGGACATAGCACATCTGAACATCTTAAACACAACTGATCTCATTTCTTCTTCTTTTTTAAAATTTTCCTAAATATTTTTTTTCTCATTATAAAAATAGTAGGGACTCATTATGTACAAACTTTGGAAATTCCAGAAAAGTACAAAGTACAAAAATGATAATACAAATCAGTCATATTACCATCAGCCAGAGGAAACCACTCTTAATCATTTCTTTATCCCATTCATATATTTATTTTTAATAATACTTGGATAGTAATGTGTTATGATTCTGTCCACCCCACATTATATCATAAACATCTAATTTCTTCAAATGTGATTTTAATTTCTACATGATATTCATAATTTGTTTAATTCTTCCCCCATTGTGCAGTATTTAGAGATTTTCTAATATATTTTTTTAATTTTAAATAGTCTTTTTAAAATTGATTTTATTTTTTTTAAATACACAACAGCGGAATGCCTTACAATTCTTATTACACATATAGAACACGATTTTTCGTAACTTTGTATATAAAGTATGTGCACGCCAATTCATGTCTTTATACATGTACTTTTTTGTATTACAATTCTTATTACATATATATACCATCATTTTTCATATCTCTGTTTGTATGTAAAGTAGGTTGACACCCAATTCGTGTCTTCAAACATGTACTTTGGATAATGATGTATGGAGAACATCTTTCCTGCCATTCGAAAATTGTCCTTGAGAGCCATGGATTTATCCAATAGTTATATATCCAATAGTTATAGATGTGTGCCAGGTGTCAGTCCCCTGTGAGGGGAGGTTTGCTGTCTCTCCTTCTTTCACTCATTTGTTCAGATGAGGGGCCCAGACAGTCCCTTGACTTACCTGAGGCTATCCATCTAGATATTAGAAATTTGGAATTCTTTGATTTTTTTCACATGGTTCATCACTCATGCTCAAACACTAGCATATCCTTTTTGATTGCCTTTTTTCTTTCTTTACCCATTTAGTTCCATTTTCTACTAACTGCTGCCACCCCATTGCAGTTCCTTCTATGAAGTCACATCCAGAAGCCACCTAGCTGACTTCCAGGACCTGCTTGTTCTACCCCTCTGAGTGACCTTTCTTTATGTCACCATCTAGTTTGAAAACTTCCCTGACTTTTTAGTGAAACCCTTCATGAACATTAGCAGCTCTGCCTGGCTCCTAAAGCCCCAGGTTCATGCCTCATCTATTCCACGAAACAGCATGAGCTTTCCATCATATTTGAAACTGTTTGATTTGAGTTCAGATCTCTGCCACTTTGGCTGGGGGACAAATAATTTTACAGTTTATTTCTGCATATACAAATAAGCACAATTATACTAATACCTGCCCTAGTAGCTTCCAAGGACCCTAGGGATGATGGAATATGTGTCACATTTTGGTAAGCTGCTAAGTGCTATATAAATGAGAGAAAATATTGTGCATGATATCCACTAGTGTCTATAACTTTGAACCATTTCAACATACAGTCTGTTCCACATAACAGCCCTGAATTATGTCAGGCCCATCATATTTTCTGTCTTATTATGTTAATCACTTTTACTCGACTTGGCTATGAAGTCTCTGAATGTAATACAGTATCTTGTGTTACTTCTGTAACTCCCAGGGCCTAACCCTGCACACTGTAGTGATGGCTAGTCCAATCTAGGTAAATCTCAGTGGTAAAGTCTGGATGAGGGTACACTGGGATTCAGTTATGGATGGGAAGAGCTGGTGAGGTCTCCTGGAGAAGAAAAGTCATAAACTCTTGGGAGTCCTAGAAGACTGGGATTAATGTTGTTATACACTCTGCAAAGTCCATGAAAACGTACTCTCAATTTGGATCTTGCCTCTCAGAGATAGCAACTGAATTTTATTTTATTTTATTTTTTAAAGAGAGAGTGAGAGAGGAGAGAGAGAGAATTTTTAATATTTATTAGTTCTCGGCGGACACAACATCTTTGTTGGTATGTGGTGCTGAGGATCGAACCCGGGCCGCACGCATGCCAGGCGAGCGAGCTACCGCTTGAGCCACATCCCCAGCCCCAGCAACTGAATTTTAATAACAACCCTCATTAGGCTCACTAGCCAAAATCAAATCAGAAGCCAGAATGTCCTGCAGAGATAGAGGAACAAAACTTGACCTTTGGTTGTCTCTATCAGAAAGGTCAGGCTGCCTGTGCAACCCATGATACGTTGTTAAAGACTAATGATGATCCACCTATGAATTGCTTATTTAATCTGAAGCTCACCTATCAGTTTTAGTTATCTAGTTGCTAGAGTCCAAAAGAACATTTTCCCCTAATAGGTCTATCCCTTTAAAAAGTCAGTTATAGAGGTAAAATTATGGTTAATGGCAAAAAATGGGGGTTAAATTAGGGTTAGGTTTAGTGCTGAGTTTGCAGTTAGTGTAGGGTCAGGGTTCAGCTTAAGATGAGGTTGAGTTTTAATACTAGGTTTGGGGCTAAGCTTCAATGCTAGAGTTAGTACTGGTGTTAGAGTTAGGTTTGGGTTAAGGCTGGGTCAAGGTTAGAGTTGGGGTTAGGGTTCATCTAGATTCTTGGACACAAAGAATACTTTCAATTAAAGATATTCTTGAAAATTTCACTTTCATCTTTTGCATTTTTGCCCATTTTCTGAGGACTAGTGTAAGAATTGTTTGGAGAACTCTCCTCTTACATTATTCTTACATTATTCATTATACAGTTTTCCATAGTTATCAGAGTCTTTTTTAAGACTGAAAGCAAGCAACACCTGTAAGATCAACGTTGGCACCTAAAGGTCAATTTGTAGATGGCATTATCATTGTATTGCTCTCTTTCTCTGTCATAAAAGCCAACACCATTAAGGCCAAAAAAAAAACCCCATGGTCTAGAATGTACTTATGTTTTACCTCCAAAACATTGTTTAATATAAACATTTATATATACTTTTGAAGCACCAGTCATTGGTTAAGCACTAAGGAGAAAACCATCTGTTTAACAGTATTTCCAAGTGGTTAGATGTCATTCAAATATGTATTTCCAGTCTAGGCTTCCTTCTCAAACTACAAACTTGGATGTCCAGTGGATGAATGATGTCC